TTGTTGATCTTGATCACCTGTGCAGTTACTCTCTTAACCCCTCTCCCATACCTGTACTCTTTGGAAGGGAATTCCTGTGTGTAGCCCACACTTCAGGAGGGAGTTATGCTCTCTTACCCTTAGGGCAGAGTATTTACATAAACTTTTTGGACTTCTTCTGCATGGGAAATCTGTCTTTCTTCCTCATTTATTAATTTTTTCAATCATATACGGTAGTGTGCACTCATGGATATTTATTTTGTAGTTTGGGTCGTAATCTGATACTCCTTTATTTTGTTGCTCAAATTGTTCCAGCTTTGGCCATTGGGAACTCTTTTAGTCGTCCCCTGTGCCCCTTTGATAGAACCCCATCAGTGGGTGTTTCTTTTTGTTTTTCAAGTGCTTTCTTACGTTTTGACACTACAAGATGAACTAGGCTGGGGAGCCTGGGTGGCTCAGCTGATTGAGCATCCAGCTCTTGGCTTTGGCTTGGATCACATCTTGGGGTCCGGGGATTGGGCCCTGCATCAGGCTCTGCGCTCAGGGTGGAGTCCGTTTGGGATTCTGTCTCTCCCTCTGCCCCTCCTCCCACTTGCTTGCTCACTTTGTCTCTGAAATAAATAAATCTTAAAAAAGATGAACCAGGCTTATCTTGTATATTTCCTGTCTTAGTCCTGGAATCAGGCATTTTTCCCCAGTAGGCTTGTTTCTTACACGACAGAACGGAGAAACCAAGATCTAGGTGCTAGGTGTGCTTGTTGCTACTAGGGTGTCATTTCTTTAGGCCTTCTCATCTGACAGAGTAAAGAAATATGTGTGTACTAACTCTTATTGTATGAACATATATTTGTTGTATACAGACCTATAAATATTTCTGTATGTAACCATCTTGTCTCTATTAAGCTAAACAGTTTAGCTTAATACAGTGGAGACTCATGTCTCCAATTCTAATCTATTACCCTGTGGATTTTATCTTGCTTATCTGTAAATTCTCACTCCAACAGTGAGAAGCCTCCATCCATTTACAGTAGATATGTGTATTAGTGTCAGAATTGTTAACCTGTAGTCTCATGTAAAACAACGTATCAGGTAGAATACAATGCTTATGGCAGATTTACTTTTGCCTTCATTCTTAGGGACCCCAGAGGTACTGAGGTCAGCACCTTCCCCCTCCCAACTGCTTTCAGGCAGGTTACTTCTTATATTTGTAATACAGTTAGATTCTCTTGTCATATTTCTGTCCCTTCCTGGAATCCCTTAATCTCCTAAATGATTTTCTTTTAGTTTGCATCCATTAACGCTCACTCTTTGTGTCATAAAGTTCCGAGTTTTGATAAGTGCATAATGTCACATATCCACCAGTACAGAATTGGAGAGAATAGCTTCACCCGGAAAGTCCCCTGTGCTACGTCTACTCATCCCACCCCCAGATCCCCCACACTCATGGCCGCCGCTTATCTTTTTACTGTCTTTATAGTTTTGCCTTTTACAGGATGTATTTGGAATGTATGTAGGTAGCATTTTCAGACTGGCTTCTTTCACTTAGCAATATGCATTTAAGGTTTCTTCATTTTGTGTGTTTGTGACTTGATGATTTATTTCTTTTGATTGATGAATAGTATTCCATGTATCATGATTTATTTATCACCTATTGAAGGATATCCTTGTTGCTTCCAGTTTGGGGTAATTATGAATAAAATTGTTACGAACATTTGCATGCAGGCCTTTGGGTTTTTGTGTGATCTGAGTTTTCAGACAAACTGGATAAATACCTATGAATGTAATTACTGTTTTATATGGTAACACTATGTTTCGCTTAGTCAGAAACTCTCAAACCGTCCTCCACAAAGTGTCCATACCATTTTACATTCCATTATCAATGAATGAGAGTTCCTTTTGTTCCTCATCCTGGCCAGAATTTAATATTCAGGTTTTTGGATTTCAGCCATTCTAATAGTTGGGTAGTACTATCTCATTGTTGTTTCTTTTCCATTCCCTAACAAATGACGTTGAGCATCTTTTCATATGCTTATTTGCCACCTGTACCTCTTTTTTGGTGAGGTGTTTGCTCACATACTTTGCCCAGTTTTTAATTGGGCTGTTTGTTTTTTTACTGTTGAATTTTTAAGAGTCTTTCTGTTCTTGAATACCAGTCCTTTATCCAATACATGTGTTGCAATTTTCTCCACTCAGTGGCTTCACTTTTTATTCTTCTGTGTGTTTCCCAAAGCAGTTTTTAATTTTAATGAAGTCCAACTTGTCAGTTATTTCTTTCATGGATTATGCTTCTGGCATTGTATCTAAAAACTCATCACAAAACCCAGGGTCACCTAGATTTTCTCCTATGTTATCATCTAGAAGTTTTATAGTTTTGCATTTTACATTTAGGCTTATGGTGCATTTTGAGCTAATTTTTTTGAAAGATGTAAGGTCTGTGTCTAGATTTAGATTTTTTTGCATTTGGGTGTTCAGTTGTTACAGCATCATTTGTTGTAAAGACTGTCCTTTCTCTATTGAACTGTCTCTGCTCCTTTCAGTCAGCCATATTTATGCGGGTCTATTTCTGGGCTGTCTGTTCTGTTACACTGTTCTACTTGTCTGTTCTTTCACCCGTATCACCCTATCTTGATTATTGTAGCTTCATTGCTTTATTGTAAGTATTTTTTTTTAAGATTTATTTATTTATATGAGAGAGAGAGAGAGCATGTGCACAAGTGGGAGGGGCAGGGAGAGAGAATCTCAAGCAGACTCTGCACTGAGCACAGAACCCAACACAGACGGGGCTCTCATAGCCCCGAGATCATGACTTGAGCAGAAACCAAGAGTCAGACGGTTAACCGACTATGCCACTCTGGCACCCCAGCTTATCCTAAGTCTTGATATCAGGTAGTGTCAGTCCTTCAACTTGGTTCTTCAGTATTATGTTGGCTATTCTAGGTCTTCTACCTTTTTATATAAACGTTAGATAAATTTGTTGATATCTGCAAAATAGTTGGCTGAGATTTAGATTGGGATTGCATTAAATCTGTGAACCAGCTTGGGAAGAATGGACATTTTATCAATATTGAGTCTTCCAATCTATGAACATGTAATACTTTTTCCATTTAGTTACCTCTTCTTTGATTCCCCTGTCAGAATTTTCTGCATATATATTCTGTACATATTTTGTTAGATTTATACTTAGCCATGTAATTTTTTTGGTTTTACAAATGGTATTGGGTTGTTAATTTCAAATTCCAGTTATAGCTGGTATATAGTAAAGCAAATGACTTTAGATTGTTAACTCAGTATCCTGTGACCTTGCTATAATTGCTTATTACTTCCATTTTTTGTTGTTGATTCTTTGGATTTTCTACATGGTAAATCATGTCATTTGTGAATAAGGATAGTTTTTCTTTTTCCTTCCCAATCTTTATACCTTTTATTTCCTTTTCTTATTTTATTACACTAGCTAGGATTTTCATTATGATGTTGAATGGGAGTGATGAGAGAGGGTATCATAGCCTTGTTCCTGATTTTATTGGGGAAAGCATCCATTTTCTTACCATTAAGTATGATGTCAGCTGTAAATTTTTTGTATATGTTCTTTATTAAGTTGATGAAGTTCCTTTCCCTTCCTCGTTTGTTGAGTTTTTAGTCATGAAAGGATGTTGGGTTTTGTCAGAGGTGTTTTCTGTGTCAGTTGATATATCATAGGATTTTTCCTTTAGCCTGTTCTCATGATGGATTACATTAATTGCTTTTTTAAAAAAATTACGTTTCTAATGTTGAGCCAGCCTCCTGTACCTGGAATAAATCCCACTTTGTCACATACATTATATAATACATTGTTGGATTTGATTTATTGATATTTGGTGAGGATTTTTGCATCTGTGTTAGGAGAGATACTGATCTGTAGATTTCCTATCCTGTAATGTTTTTTTTTCCTGGTTTTAATATTGGTAGACCAACTTATTTCATTTTTCTTCATTCTCATCTACTTGTATCCATACATATTATCTGTGATTTTAGCTGTATGAAAATGATATAGATGTGCTATTGTATTTGTTCACTTAAATTGTCAATCTCTAACATCCCTAGAGCAAAGCATTTTTTATGATGTGTCATAATTTTTGTTTTATGATTTTCATTTAGCAACAGTTATATTTAAAATCATGGAATTTTAGGGGCACCTGGGTGGCTCAGTTGGGTTGAATGTCCTACTCATGGTTTTGGCTCAGGTCACGGTGTCTCAGGGTTGTGAGATTGAGCCCCCTGTCAGGCTCCACAGTCAACAGGCAGTCTGTTTGAGATTCTCTCCCTCTCCCTCAGCTCTCCTCCCCTGCTCCCCCCGTGTGCTCTTTCTCTCTCTCTAAAAATAAATAAATAAATCTTTAAAAAAAATGAAGTCATACTGAATTTTAAAATGAAAAATGTCACTCAACTATTTACACATAAATGGTAATATTCTGAAATCTCTTCGTTTCTTTTGTGGATTATAGTTACATTAGGATAATGGTAAGGAAATAACTTTATTTTCTTTTGGCCAGAAAGAGGAAGTGTTATAGCCCTTTTACACAAGAACTCTTACCTAGAAAAAGTAATGGAATCATATGCCTTTTCAGTGCAGTGTCGTGACAGATCAGGCCCGGCTGGCAGTATGGGGGCAGTTCTGTTCTCACCCACCGCCTCTCCTTTCTGTTCTCCATCTTCTCTCATACACCATTTCTTTTCCTAAATTTTATGTGGAACAGAAAATATAGTTTAATATTTATTTACCCTGTGAAATTTATATTTCCTACTGTTAAATTTTTAAATAAGTTAAAAAAAATCCCAAGTTTATTTCTTTTTCTCATTCTTTTGTTTGGTCAGTGTTTATACAAGTAAAAAGTCACACAGGGTGTGACTGCAGAGGATGATGGCAACATGGGAAATTTTAGGAGTTACAGCGGAAAGTAAAAGTATAATAGGATAATTATTAAGATTTTTAATATAAAGGTAGAGACAACAAACTGTTCATATGTATGTCTGCTTTCTCATAGGCTGAGAATCCCCCTCATGGACCAGATTGTGGTTATGGCTCCTTTCACCAGCAGTATTGGCTTGATGGAAGAATCATTGCTGTGGGGGTGATTGACATCCTTCCATACTGTGTCTCGTCTGTATATTTGTACTATGATCCTGATTATTCATTCCTGTCTTTGGGTGTCTACTCTGCATTACGGTAAGATTACTTTTGACAGCTCTCATAGGTCGTATGGAACTTCAGATAATTCCTCATTTGATTAGAGTTCATCATATAACAGCAGAAATCCTACTTGATAGTTCATAATTTTGTTGCTATAGTAGTCTGTTATATATTGGTATTTAGAATACCACTTTTAGAACTGAGGCCGATGTCTGATGGTAATTCCCTAGCTTTTTAAGTTATCCATCTCGTCTAATATATGACAAGTCATTGTATTTGTGGGGTGCTTTTTTTGTTTATGTCTTTATTTAAGCTACTCTATCAAGAACAACTTAATGTTCCTTAAATATTATAGTATTTACATATTTTTGTCATTGTTGTATATGTTTTTTCATAATTAAAGTTTAAATGAATCTAATGTAAATAAAGTAATGTGAGAAAGTATATGGAACAGGACTGGGAAGTCCCTAACTGTCCACTAAATTCTGTGGCTCTCATCAAAAGATTATTTCCCTTTTATGTCCATGGCTGCAAATATATGCAGCACAACACAGATATTTTGCATTATCCTGATGGTAGAAAGTTTAGGGCCTTATTCCATGAAAATACTTGTTCTATTTTTATTCCTTCTTGTCTGCGTATTATATGTGGTAGAGAAGGGAAGGAGAATTGAAAATTATTTTTCTGTTGCTTGTCTGGGACCTTGAGACTCTCTCGTTCTCATGGTGTCATTGTTTTCTCTTTTCCCAATCTCTGTGTCCAGTGGTCACATTCTCACATCTTGGGAAGATACACTTTGAGGTTATTTATTTTATTTGTTGTGTATGTGTTTTTTTCTGAATTATAAAAGTGGAAGAGTTGGGATTTTTCTTTAATCTCCATTTGATTTTTGTAAAAAAATCTGGTCCATAATTGATTCTGTGTGTTTCAGTGGTCTGTAATATAAAGAAAAATTCTCCATCTTGGTATTTTCAACCTAATGTCTCCTAATGCCAAGTTATAGCAGATTCACAATTATACAGTGTTTACAACTGATCTCTGTAATAATCTTTTATTTTTCTTATGTATTTAATTGCATTTGTGCATAAACTAAGAATATTCATGAGACATAATGACGTCAATGATATTGGAACTGATAATTTAAAGCATTTACGTTTTGTAACTTTAGAAGCGTGTATTTATTTCAGAAAACTACTTTTTCTTTGGACCAAAATCAGCTAACACTTTGAAATTATTGTCATTTTCCTTCTTGTTTTGTTTTTGTATCTATCACTTTACAGTATGTAGCTATGGATTTGTTTAGACTTCTTAAATAAATATCAAGAATATTTATTCCCACATAGTGAATTCCAACCTATATATGACATTTCATATCTCAGTAAACTAAGGGATATTGAAATCCTGCTGCATTTGAGGTAGTAAATAATCAGTTCCCAGCAAAATTGTAAGTGTTCTATTTATTGCTTTGGTATATCTCTTGAAATTCTAGAGCTGGAGAGCTTTGAGGAAGAAGCAGAGGAGCCTGGGAACATGAAAGTTGTTGCCAGTTGAAAGCAGGGAGATTGCCTCTGCATTACAGTCTTGTCATTTCCTTTTAGTGTTCTTGAGAATATGAGTTGCCGAGTTTTCTAGAAGAGGAAAGGCAGCCAGGAAATTTGATATTTCCAAGCAAAATTGGGGAGAACACGCTATAAATTGCTGGTTCTATTATTGATTATAGTGTATTTCAGTGAAATCTGTTTAGCTAGTTTCCCTCCATTTCTTTAATTTCTTAAGCAATTGTAAATGAATATAGTTTTTATATTTAAATCTATAATCAGTATAGATTTTTACATAATCTAGTCTGTAGGTTTAAAAAATTGTTTGAATTGGGGATCATGAGCGTGACATTTATTTATGTTTTGTTAGCAAGATGAATTTTAGAAATGAATTAATTTGTTTAACAGATGTTTATTTGAGAAGAATCTATGTGTCTCAGACACAATTCATAGAAATGAATAAGGGTTTCCAGCTTTGTCAAAGAAGACAGTAAATTAGAATACTAACATAATTTTAAATACTCCATTATGCTGTGACAAAAATAAAATCACAGTGATAGGTATGAGGTCCTTTTTGTATAGGGCAGTCAGGAAAGACCTCTCTGGACAGGTGACATTTGAGGAGCCAAGAAAAAATAAAGGACCCAACTGTTTAAATAAAAGTCTAAGGGTAGAAATGTGGGTGGTACAACAACCGAGGTGGTCAGAATGGAGAAGATAGGTCCTGCGGGCTAGGATATGGGGTAGGATGTAGACAGGAGTTAGGCAGGGAGGGCAGAGATGCAGGAGGCACTGGTGAGGAGGGGCCGATGGAGCTGCGCTTGATAGGTCATGGTAGGGAGGTTCGATTTTGTCTAAGTGTGATATCAACCCAGTTTGAAGGCGAAGGGTTTGGGGAGGTTACCTGATCTGATTAGTATTGTAAAAAAACCACTTGGGCCGCTCTGTGGGATTTATCTCCTACAGAGATGCAGGAGGCACTGGTGAGGAGGGGCAAGAGGGGAACCTGGAAAGCCAGTCAGGAAGCTGTTGCAGTCATCCAGGGGCGCCGTTATGCTGGCTTGGACCAGAATAGCTGAGGTGGAGGTAGTGAGAAGTGGTCAGCTTCAGGGTATATTTTGGAGATGGGGCCAGCTGGACCTGTTGATGGATTGGACATGGGAGTGAGAGGAGAACAGTTAAGGATGGCTCCAGGCTTGGGCCTGCATAACTGGGGGAGCAGAGGGGCAATGCAGGACCGAGGGAAGGAGTGCCGTCGTCAGAGGTGGGTGGTCCCGCGTTGGTGTCCAGTGCTTTCTTCCTCACTTTGAACCTTGAAAGTGGATTAGTTCTAGGAATAGTGGGATTTATTCTGTTACAGACTAATAACGTTCAGTCTGCTTGGATTTAGAAATACTGTTATTTTACAGATGAATCTGTAGGATCACAGCCCTTCCATGACTTAAATTTGAACTTGCAAAATGCACAGACTATTCACTTAAAAAATTTCTCCTTGAAATCAAGCATTCATTGGAAAGAAAGAGGGAAAGAAAGAAAAAGAAAGCAGGCCTTCAAGAAACAAACATAAAAACGAAACAAACAACTGTTCTCCTACTTTAGAAATGTACTAAAGTTTCCTTGAAACTCTCAAATACAAGCAATCATTCATTTGGGCAAGTAGGATGAAGTTCTGTGCCCGGATTTATCCGGATGCAAATTAAAACCACTTCAAGCCTGGGCATTGCTGACAGTGTCTTTGTTCAGTTAAACCTCGCCTATGCCAACAAATAGAGGAGAAGTGGGGAGATAGCAGAGTTTTCTTCCACTCTTTAGTTTTAGGGAGAATAAATATTAGAGTAGCATCTAGATGTAGGCAGGAGTTTTACATCATATATAGTTGCAAGTGTTTGCATGTAAATGGTCATAATAATAGTCATTCTTTCTGAAATGTGTTGGTTTTTGAGTTTTATAAAACTTGCTGCACTGTTTTTCACTTGATAAACCCAGTCTTTTGAGAACTCCAGGGGATAATGAGTAATGTTTTAAATAGATCTCTTTATTTTTATGCTGTTTGAATTTTAGATCAACTAATATGCTCAATAAAGTGTAAAATGTGAACTTAGATGCATTTGCTCAAAATAATTTAGAGTTGTTTATGTCTTTTTAGTAAAAGCTATCTTAAAGTATTGTTTTTTAAGATTTTTATTTATTTGACAGAGAGAGAGAGACAGCGAGAGAGGGAATATGAGCAGGGGGAGAGAGAGAGGGAGAAGCAGGCTTCTTGCGGAGCAGGGAGCCCGATGTGGGGCTCGATCCCAGGACCCTGGGATCACGACCTGAGCTGAAGGCAGACGCTTAACGACTGAGCCACCCAGGCACCCCTTAAAGTATTTTTTTAAAATTGTTTTGCTTTCAACACTTGGAGTTTCTTAATAGCTTAACATTATATTTTCAGATGTTATTAGATATTTGACATCAAATTACATGTACTTTGAGTATTGGAATGAGATTTAACTGTACCTTCATCTTTATTCTTCTTTTGGCAGAGAAATTGGTTTTACTAGGCAACTTCATCAGAAAACATCTCAACTCAGCTATTATTATATGGGTTTCTACATTCATTCATGTCCCAAGATGAAATATAAGGTAAGGCTGATTTTCATGTGTGTCTGCTCTAGATGCAGTTCATGAACATTAGTGCTTTCATGGTTTCTCATCATATTAGTTTCACTTGCTTGTATATTTACAATGTATGTAATGAATTATTTTTAAATGTGTTTTAAACTTCTCATGGAATCTGGCTTGTTCATTGCCTAGAACAATGCTGGACACATAGGCACTTAATATTTGCTTAGTACAGAATGGATCTGTAGAAATTAACCAAATATATAGAAATCCCAGCTATTCTAGAACATTCAGTAGGGCCTGCTTACTTGGGGTAGCACAGAACACCCACTAGGAATCTACCTTGTCTGGGTGCATCCTACCCCTTCCCCCACCCTCCATTTTTTTCTCCTTCCCTTCCATTTTAGCTTTGTTTTTTCCTTTGGACCCAGTCACAGTCCAGAAAAACTGGAGCTCGATGTAAGCAGTGAGGTATTTTCAATAATAAAAATAATAATGCAAATGTTTGTAAGATTTTCATCATAGAAAAATTAATCTTTAATATGATTTTTGTCTCAGGGCATATAGGACTTGGACTTTGAAGGGCTGACGAGTGAGTTAATTGAGGAAATCACTTTGCTGCCTCAGAAATGAAGCTTTCTGTAGTGAGAACCACAGCCTTTATTGCTCTGACTTTATAATTCATCGTATTATTGTGAGATTTAACTGTATGTCAGAATTCCCCTTTAAAAAAAAGTTTTATCTTTTATGACTCTCTTTAACTAAACTCTTTGATGTTTTCTAAGGATTAGCAGCCTACTGTATGTAAAAACTCTGGTAAGTAGTGTAGAGCAGTATGAAGGAGCAGTTTCCCTATATCCCGCCCACCATAAAAACAGGAACCGAACTCCTTCGCTCTACTTAGAGCACTGCTTTAAGCTCTGAAGAGGCAAAAAGATGTAAACATGAATCTTCCTCTTAAAACTTGTAATCTTGGTGAGGATTGGGAGTATTTTACCTGAAAACAGATTAGGAGAATGGTTTGGTTAAGTGGCCTGATAATCGAGTAGGCAGATGGGGAAGCATGGGTCAGAGAGAAGGAGCAGACAAGTAAGAATTGGCAGGTGACCTTGCCCATGACATAGTCATATAAAAAAGGGTAACCAAAGGACTCTGAAGGACTTGAAAGCTATTCTGAGGTATTTAAGCAGCTGGGAGTCATTGAGGCTTCAGAGCCAAGAACATAGCATGTGGAAATCAAAAAACATATTCATATGTATAAGTTACCATTTTTTTTAAAGTTATGGTTATTTTAAAAGCATAAACCAAATTGAAAAGTGTAATTGAACCTCCTTGTACCCATTACCCAGCTTCAGCAATTCGCAGTACCTCATATTTCATCTGTTCTTTCATCCATATTCCTACCTCCATCATCTTTTGAAATGTTTTGGAACAAATCCAGAATATCATTTCATCGGCACATTTTTTAATGTATATTTGTAAAAAATAAGAGCATTTTGAAAACAAAATCACAGTCTCAGCATCACATCTCAGAAGCATTAACAGTATTTCTAAATATCCTCCTGTATCTCTAGTCAGTGCTTGTATTTTCTGATTGTCTCATAATATTTTTTACAGTTTGTTTGACTTAGAACCCACATGAGGTCCGTACATTTGGTTGATGTGTCTTGTAAATCTTTTTAATCCGTAAATTTCCCCTCCCTCTTTTTTTTTTCCTCTATACAAATGAATAATCCACAAAACATGGTGATTAACTAAATGTGGGAACGAACAAAAGTGGCTCCAGAGTGTTGAGGTTAAGTGCTGAATGTCTGGGGTAGGGATGCTTCCACTGGTAGAAACTGTAGATCCTAGAAGCAAAACTGGCTTTGAAAGAAGGGTGATACCCAATACCTTGCTGGTTTTATGCTGACATAGCCCAAGTCTTCTGGCAGGGCTTCCTGCTGGCATTTAATTCCTGTATTTAAGTGTACATTGTAGGTAACTTGTGAATTTAATTGTTCAGATATTTCCTTTATGCCTGAATTATTAACTTAGTTGATAGGTCTAAACATATTCTCTGTGGAAAGAAAAGCATGAATATATTTCTCTTTTCCCAAAAATACTTACTTGGTACTGTTTTTACTCGTGTTCTCTCCTTCGCTCATTTTTGTGGTACCAGATCTAAGTAAATTCAGGGTAGGAAACTCAAATACTCTGGATATTGTAGTACAATAATAACACTCAAAAGAAAAGTCTAGCCATCCTATAATTCATCTGCCTTTGTGTACTTGTGCATGACCCCTTCTAAACAGAAGTATTTTTATGCCAATCTTAGGGACTTGGAGAAATTTCACTTTTACTTCCCATCTGTAATGGCCACTCTAGTGTCACAGGATTTTTCCCTCAGTGAGTTTTTCCTTATACCTAAGCTAAAATCTTAATTGCTCCGTATTTTAACCTGTTTCTTTTTTGTTGTTGTTGTTGTTCATGGAAATGTTGACCATATTTTCATCACCCCTTCCTCTGTATGAAGACTTTTTTTTTTTTTTTAAGATTTTTTATTTATTTTTTGACAGCGAGAGACATAGCGAGAGAGGGAACACAAGCAGGGGGAGTGGGAAAGAGAGAACAGGCTTCCCGCAGAACGGGGGCGGGGGGGCGATGCGGGGCTCAATCCCAGGACCCTGGGACCATGACCTGAGCCGAAGGCAGACGCCTAACGACTGAGCCACCCAGGCGCCCTGTATGAAGACTTTTTATGCACCTTTGTTGACTCCAGTCCAGACTAAATGCTGTATGTTATTCAGTCTCCTTCCTAAGTCGAGCTCTGCTTGGAAATAGAAGTCTGGCTCACATCTAGTTTTTAGTTAAGAATTAAAAAATGCTCTCCATACTGTTCAATCTGTCTGGCTTAATCATACCCAGCCGAAATTTGTCAGAATTATAGCTTCAGGATATTATTTTCTAATTCCGTTTGCATGAGAGGTACCCCAGTGCCCACCTCTCCTTGTCCCCTTCATTCATGTGACACTTACTGAGCTCCCGCTGGAAGTGCTGCAGTGAACAACACAGGCGAGGTCCCTAGGCTGAAGGACCTACAAGAAGTTAATGAAGAAGACAAACAGATAGGAATGAGCACTGTGTGATGTGGTAAATACTTACTAGGTGTGGCTCCTTTTCGAGTGGGGTCAGGGGGAGCCTTTCAGAGGCATAATGTTTAGACTGAGATTTGGTTGACAGGAAGTCGGCCAATGGGAAGACGAGGGGTCATTTCAGGATGAGACTGGAGAACAGCTAGTGCTCGTCTCCTTTTGAGTTGCTGCTGTTAGCCATTCTGGCTGTATTTCAGGATGACCTGAGGAACTTTTTTAAAAATACCAGTACGTGGGCCCCTGCCTTCCAAGATTTTTGATTCATTGGCTGGGGGTCAAACCATGGATGTCATTTTTTTTTTTTTTTTTTTAACGCTCAGGAGATTCTAATGTGAAGTCAAGCTTGAGAACCACTGCACCAGATTAATTTTTCACATCTGAGAGCGTAATAATGAACTGGAAAGATGATTATTTCTCATTTTAAAGTTAGCTAATTTCTGTTTATTAAATTCGGAGTCACTCCTATTGAAGAAGCTCATATCTACATTTTGTTATCTGGGTCCTGAACATTGAAGGCTGACCGACCGGAGCCTTTCAGCTGGGTTTTCCCACCCGAGGGCATTTACCCTCACTGATCTCTCATCTTTCAGTCTCCCTCTACCCATCCTCCATGCTTGCAAACGCCTCCTACGTCATCTCTCAGCCTAGCGGTCACTTGCTCCAGTGATCTATACTGGACACTAAGACTGGGTTTGACCACTCACCTATCCACCCATCTCCAGCTCCCTTAGCATTCTGTGTTTCTTCCCAAAATTCAAGTCTGTCTCCTGTGTATACGTTTGTGAGACTTTTGATGTTTATCTTCATCATGTATGCCAAGTACCTAAAAGTGTGCCTGCCACACAATAGATGTTTAATTTTTAATAGACATTCGTTGAATTAATGAGAAGAAATACTAGTGCCGAGGGTCAAGAAACTCCCTTTTGTTTAACAGGTGTTTACTAGGTGTGACTAGGACAGCTTCTGCTTTGCAAATAGATTAGAACTTAGTAAGACACATAGGTGGTTCTAAGGGAATATGACTGGATATCATGGAGTACTAATAAATACTCTGATATCAAAGGGAGGTAGTGGTACAGGAGTGTGTAACAGTTTGGAGAAGTTGCTCAATTACAGCTGGTCTTGGTTTTGCAACTGTAAAATGGGAATGATACAGAAATGAGATATATTGTGGGGTGTTTTGTTTTGGGGTTTTTTTTTTTTTTCTTTTCTTTTCCTTTTTTTTAGTAAGCTCTGTACCCAATGTGGGGCTTGAACTCACGACCCTGAGATCCAGAGTTGTATGCTCTACCAACAGCCAGCCAGGTACTCTGAGATATATTGTGTTTTTATCTCGATTTGAGATAGGTGCAAGAATCTTCTTGCACTGACTAGTAGGATAGAACCCACCCAGTTGGGTAGCATGCACAAAATCATTACCTGTGCTTTTTTTGAGACCTGTCAAAATTCTGTGTTTATATACTGATAAATGGCACCCAAATTTCTAAGTGGCCTGCTTGTGCTATTAGCCATACTTTTTAGTTCAGATGCTGGGGAAAAGCAGAGGCTTATGCTAGTGTATACCAATACTGCCTCACTTTATGAAAATTTGCAGAATTGTGGACACTTTTGCCTTTTGTTTGGAGGAAAGTGGTACTGAACTCTGTTGGGGTTGGTGCTGCAAAAAGGTGAACCTCTCCAGAATAGTTCTTGTGTTGCGCTGTAGGGTATCTGTTGGTTTTGGCCTTGTCCATTTAGGGCAGAAAAAGTCTGAGCTCAGATGTTTGTGGGCAGAATAAAGTGACTATTTTGTTCCATTTGTAGATGTTTTCATTTCATCTAAGGATGTTTTATTACATTTTCAGCAAATGAGAACCCTCAGTTATGAAGGAACAGCACAACTGCTTG